TACCCGAACTCCTATACTCCCTGAGACGACACTTAGTCCTAACTGCAAGACGCAAGAGTCTCGCAAGCTTAGTCTTGTTCTTGCGCAAATCTTGCACGGTCAGTCTTGGTCTTGGTCTTGCTAAAATTAGGCGGTCTTGTTCTTGGTCTTGGTCTTGCAAATATGCAAGAACAAGACCAAGACTGCAAGACCAAGACTCATTTTGGGCAACACTAGTGGCAGCCGTACAATGATGGGTGCAAGCGGGGTAAGGGAGAGGGGGATATTACAAAACTTGGTTTTAACCGGTTAATTATTACTACCTAAACCGAAATTTGTGAAAAACCGGTATTCCGCAAAAACCGATTTTGGGGTCAATGACCTAAACCGGTTTAGAATTTCAACCGGTTTCCGAGCCCTGGTTTAAGGTAACTCAGTTACAAATAAGAGAAGAAATAATTATTAAATTCTATTTTTATGACATAAATATAGTACATAATATATTAATCAGTCTTTTTTAGAAAACGAGATTTTAAAAACATGAAAGCGTCAAGTGTCTCATCGTTTAGACATGATCTTATTTTATTACAGAACATGCCAGCTGTGGAAAAAGCTCTCTCAGACTCAACACTGGTCGGCGGTATGGAAAGCAACCTGTTAAGAACTTTTTTTAGGATTTCTCCACGACCTCCACCGTTTTCAAATAAAGCCATTTCAACGTGAATCATTTGAAGGCAAATCAGTTGCGCTGATTACACTAATTGACTGGTGTTGATCACTACACACATTTGCAAGACAAAGTTGGAGATTGAACTTTTCTTTAAAACTGAGCGGCGATGGATCAGAACTATGGCACAGAGTTTCTGAAGTAGAGATCGTATTAGTCGTCGTGGTTGTACAATCGTGAACATCCAGGGATGCAGCTTGATAGAACAAATTTTTAATTTCTTCATACGTAGGATTTTTAAATATATCATCGTATTGTAAGGCGCCGACAACATTATAGTCACCTCTCTTTAATCCTCCGTTTTAATGAAATTGCCAGTTGCCTGGCAGACATCATGTTTTGGCTGTCTAATGCTTTCATAAAAATTTAAGAGCTGTATCTGCCGTTAGAATGTTAGCATCTCTGCGGCAGAGTACTTCCACGGTAGTTTTGATGATGTCCAAACAAATTTGCAGATTTTCTAGACTTAATATTTCTACATCTGAGAATTTAATACCAGATTTCATATCAATCAATGCCTTCTGTATGCATAATTTTAGCTTTAAAAATCGTTCCAGCATAATTGATAGACTGCTCCACCTGGTTTTGCTTTCTAGGAGTAGTTGTAACTCTTTTCCAAATTCAGCTTGGACATATTTTTGGAGCGTGGCGTCGTCCTTTGTCGGTGAGTTTTTAAATATCTTCACCACTGACCGGACTTTTTTAATTATTTTCTTATATTCATCATTCAGCACTCCGTGTCTCCGTTAATGCTCGACAACAAATCCGTCAACGTCATCAATGTCATCATCAGAGTTTTCATCTGAGTCAGAGTCTGAGCATGTTTCCGGATCCTCACGTGGTTGTTGATTTTTTTTTGTATAAAACATCTTGTACAGCCAGTTGCACACCGTGTGCAAGGCATAATTGATAAAACGGAACTGGCAGAATACGCCCAAGCTTCGCCATGACAGCTGCGCTGTCAGTTAACAACTGGACAAAGGACAAAGACATCATCGGATGTCTTTGTCCAAACAAATTCCGAAAGAATCTAATCTTATTTCTATAAGTGAAACACTAGCTTCAGCTCCCATAGACCCTACAATCCTTACTAATCCCAGAATTTTGCAGACATTTTCGCCATCATCATTTTGAAAATGAATATTTAAATTTAGGTATCGATGGGATTTAATTAGGGTCCACTCATCAAGAGTGATTGACTACTTGGTATTTTTAGTCTTCATAACTGTTATCTGTACATTAAGAGACAATTTTTCTATGTACATTTTTATTTTTTTATTGAATTTGGTGACTTTGGGATACCTTCTTTATAAATTTTTTGTCTTAACTGTCTGAGATCTGCCGACGAACAAAATACTTTTAGCGGTAACCCGTCTAATGCGACCATTCTTGATATAACGCTAGTTAAAGAATCTTTGCTTTCATAATACTCGGTCATTTTTTGCTTTTTAGTAAATGGAACACAGCTTTTGCTATTCGAAGCGATGGGTGTGTCTTTTTGTTGAGAATTGGTGCTGACACTTTCATTACTTTTTACATTAATGGAATGTTTCTTATGTAAGTGGGTGCGTAATGTTGACGTGCTTCCACTTATTTTCAAAATGCTATGACAGTGTTTGTATTTTGCCTGTTGCCCATCCGTAGTTCTTAAAAAGTGATGCCATACGCTGCTCTTGTCACTTGACTTTTTGGTATAATCTATGAACTTTTCATCCGGTTGATCTAAAAATAAAAAGTATAAAATAACTATGTAATGTTTTATTAATTCATTTATGCATATAAATAGATAGACACACTCACTATGTATCAGAAGTTAAATAGACACTATCTAAATTAACAGTTATTGACCTACTGCAGAATAAAACTTCACACAATTTAAAGTTAAGATGAAAAATTTATGGTATTGTAGAAGCAGGAGTCTTAACTTAATCTTAATAAACCATATACACTATAAAACCCACTCGATAAGCAAGCAGCAACCGTGAAAGATTACTTATGTAATAAATAATTGTTAGTATCCCCTTTAGTTTTTTTTTTTTGTGACGGAATAAATGTTACTTTAACTGAATAAAAATGAAAGATAGTAAAGGACTATTGACATCTTTCACGGTTACCCAAATGAAACATTTTATTTATCAGTATAGTTTATATCTATTTACACCGGGAAACTAACCATTTCAGTACTTCATTTATAAATTTAAACTTAAAGCCACCACATCGCGTCATTCACACCATACAGGCAAATTAAACACATAAAAATTATATACTTACTTGTTTGTGCAGCGCGCGTCGCTTTGCACATGCACGCACACGAATTCACACGATAGACGACAAACAATTCAACCAAATTCAATACAACCATTTTCTATGAAACTTGCTGGCAGACTGACCGAGCGGGACAGCGGGGCGCGGGGCGCCGCGCTGGCGGGCCGCGCCGTCGTGGTGCTTCTCCACAGAGTAAAGAGTAAGGACTTACTCATGTGGCTTCTCACCTCGTTGCTCGGTTTATTGCCTTATATGGGCATAAACAGAGTCAATCACGGATTTCGCGCCAAATTCGCTCAAACAAAGTACCTATAGCCAAATACCTTATCCTACCAATTCAAATATTGTTCGAAGTTGCGTGTATTAGAGTAGGTAATACTTTGAATGTGTAAAAATTTGTGGATAAATGTAAAATATTATCCATTGAACTGAATTTTGACTAAAATCCGAAAATAAGGGATTTGAGTCTCAAAAACCGGATTTAAAAAACTCTAAAAAATCCAGATTTATATGCAGTTATTTTCAAATTTCGAAGAATCCGGATTGCATTATCCCGCACGGAACAAGTATTTGTATGGCCTACAAATGATTGTTCCGGGTCTGGATGTTTGTCCTTATGCAATTTATGTTTGTAAACTGCCTCCACAACTCAGGAGAAAATCCTAGTGTGGGGGTAAAGTTTTTTTAAAAAAAAAAATACTATAAAAAGACTATAAAGACTATGCAACTTTAGATGGCCGTGGTCAGGTTGATCTAACTTTGTATGAGATCCGAGAAATTTGCACACAATCATAATTTTGTCTATGTGTGGGTTGGGCGAATAAAAATAAAGCGATAAAAAGATATCACTGTTTCTTTCCTTCGCGTTGCTTCTGGTTGCCATTTTAAAAATTAGATACAAACATACATAATTGTTATATCGGAAAAAAAACTGAAAATTATAAGTCTGTGGTATATTTTTTTGTTTGCACCTTACAGTAATTAAATATGTATTACTCTGCGATTTGCACAATTAATTGGCCTATTAATTTATTAAAATTAAATTATTAAATATTATAGTAGAATTCTATTCAGAAAAGCCATGAATTAAAAGAAGAAAAAAATTTGCTATTGTTTGTCAACTTCTTTCATATTGAAAATATAAAAAAAAATATTTTGCTATAAGACGCATGCAGCTTATCGTCTACACCCGTGCGCTTATCCCATGCAACTTGTCTATACCTCTCGCGCCTCGGTTAGGTTTTGTTAGAGATAAACGCGGCACTATTAGCTACTAATGCAGTCAAAAACGCAAGAAAAAGAGAAACTGTATGAAAGATTATTTGAAGAAACGGAACAATAAAATAATGATAGATTTAGAGTTAAACATACATAAAACACTCACGCCTGCCACCCAGAGGTGTAGGCAGAGACTATGGACTTCCATTGGCACGATTCTGACACACCTCTCTCGCTTCCTCCACATCCATATACCTACGCATACACGCCCGTCGGTTAAAGGTAGAGCTAAACAATGACATTATTTTTAAAAATTTCACACAAATGACTAAAGCCACTTTCTACAAGCTTTTGAAAATAGTGGAGCCAAAAATTACGAAACATAACACTCATTATCTAATGTTTTAACTTTGTCTTCACGAAATGTTGCATGCAAATCCACCGGTAACGGATAAGCGTTCGCTAGATGCATGCGCTGTTGTCGAATTAGTTTAAGCGCATGCGCTATTGCATGCGCTGTGCTTGCTCAGGCATGCGTTAGGGGAAGACGCAAGATGAACAGGAAAGCGCACTGGTGTAGACATAGCTAATATAATTCTGTAACAATTTCTTTGTAAAAATCTCTTATATGTATGTGTTATTTTTAAAATATTTGATAATGATGATATTACATAAAAGGAATTTTAACTCGAAAATATTATTGAGCAATATAAATGCTAGCACAATTTTCATTGTATAGCCATTCATTTTAATCCGATAAGCGCTGTAAATTTAGGGACACCGATTGGAAAAATATAAAGTATAAATTCACCATATTTGGCTTCAGTAGGGTTCCCTCCAAGAAAACGTGGTGATCGTTCAATGATTTGTAAACCGCTGCCAATACAACTTCTGTTACTTTCTGAGCTCTAACGATGTCATGGTGTCCTGGTAACATAGTTTATCAAGATTGCATTAATTAGTAATTTAAATAACCGTCTGGGTAGGCACCACTCTCTTACCTATTTTTGCCGTCAAATAGTAGTACTTGCGCTGTTGTATTCCGAAGAGTGTAGAGAGCCAGTATAACTACAGGCTGTGAGGTCCATTTTTGTCATTCGAGGTGAAAATTTATCAATAGCCTTCCTTGTTCAAATACTGTCTACTTACCATCAGGTGGATTGTAAGTTTGTTTGTCACTTCAATTTAAAAAAATCCGTGAGTGTCGTGGAACACTCGGTTGAAACGAAGTTCCTTGCATAGTATATTATTATTGATAAGTGTATTATATTATTGATTAACAAATACAAATAAATTAATTACTAGCGTCTTTTTTTTTTATAGGATAAGGGTGACAAACGAGCACACAGTCCACCTGATGGTAAGTGGTTGCTGCGGCCCATAGACATCTACATCTATCCTCGTTTGCTAATCAAAATGCAGATGCGTTGTCACCCGTGAGGACTAAGATGGAATGCCTCATTTCCAGTAAAAAGGGCCTCCGGCCACCTGCACTCACCAAACGAAACGCAGAGGTAAACCTCTACTTCACGCTGGTATTCTGTGAGGTCGTGGTACCACCCCGGTTCGAGCCGGCCCATCCGTGCGACAGCAAAAGCTGCCGCGTGGCTCTACCACTGTTAAAGCGGTACTGCGTCTATTAAAATGAAGCGTCATTTGAAATAAAATAATATTTCTTTCATGGCAAGATAAGAAAAAGTGCGAGGGAGATGGACATTATTCCATCTCACTTCCTTATTTCGTCGCCAAGTCCATCTATATTGTGACACAAGGGTAGTGACGAAAAAATCTTACACTTTTTGCTTCATGCTACAACTTCATTCCAAAAATAGATAGATTAATTAAATTAACATATATATTCATGTGTTTATGTAACTCTGGAGCTGTGTTGCATCATTCCTCGAGAGAGGCTATGTAGTCTATGTTCAGCGGTGGACTTGTGAAAGGCTGTAATGACGAATATATTGGTAGAACCACAATGCAGGATATTATATCTAATCGACCTGGAAAATCCCACGCGCGCTGTGAACACTAGCAAGAAATAGCAGCATAATGCAGCTGTGCTTCGAATCGTGAGCGACAAAAACCGGAAACCTTTTTTACTTGTAAAGGGGCATTCCATATTATTTCTCATGATTTCTATTTTTTAATTTTATCGTAGATATGTCGATGCCTATCGGTCACAGCAGAGGCAGTCTTTAATAAATGAACTTTAATTAAAAAAATGTCACCTACCGTCTAATAAAACATCCGGTTCTACAATAGGCACTAGTCCTTGACTCTGACAGATGGAGGCATAACGAGCCAAAACTTGGGCAGTGTCCTGAATAGCTTGCGCTGAGGGCGTGTGCTCTCTGATTTTTAATGGACAGCGCCATTTAGCAAAACGACAACCTTGTTTCTTGTATGTAGCACACCGTTGAGCTAGATCATCGAGACCTGAAAAAAGAATTAGATTTTATGTTTGATATTAATTTTCTTTATTGCCAGAAAATTGAACACGGTGTGATAAGTAAGTTAAAAAATTACTACGGCTGCAGTCCTGAGGAAACAAAACACGCAGTTGGACAGTTTCATACGTGGTAGAGCCATGCTGCAGTTATATTAGTAGTATAGTTGTAGCACGAATGAGTCGGCTCGACCGGGGAAGGACCACGCTCTCACAGAATACCAGCGTAAAATAGCAGCTAAATACTGCTGTGTTTCGTATGGTGAGTGTAGAGAATCGGAGACCCTTTTTATTGGAAAAGAGGCATTCCATCTTAGTCCTCACGGGTGACAACGCATCTGAATTTTGATTCGCAAACGAGTCTTTGTCACCCTATCCTATAAAAAAAAAGTTCATAAATAGCTGAAATGGTATTTTGTTTTAAAAAAAGGAGTTTTCCTGAACTTCGTTTACTGCAAAACGGCTCGTAAAAGAAAACGGAGCGTTTTTAAATATAGGAACTCCATATTAAAACTCCTTACGCGAGAGAATCCTACAGGTGGATGATAAAGAATTCGAAAAATCCGTCGCAAAAATGAGACAGTATATGAGAGTGTGAAAGTATTCTATTGTTCAGGACAGTTCTTTGTGGTATTCCTTGAGCGAGGCATATTGTCAGCTGTGAGCTTATGATGAGCTTCAAATGATGATGATTTAGTTTTCTTATGTAAAATTGTCTTATAGTATGGCAATTAAATGATATTTATTTATTAACGTCACCGAGTACCGGAACAAACTTGTGTCTGAAGTCGAGTTTTTGCTGAACAAAGTCTCGGATTGGGGGCGACTAAATCTAGTCCAGTTTAATCCTCAGAAGACACAAGTTTGCGCGTTTACCGCTAAAAAGAACCCCTTTGTCGTATCTCCTCAGTTTCAAGGTACTCCCTTGTTGCCTCAGCCAGTATCGGAATCCTCGGCGTCGACATATCGATTGACATGCAGTTTCGTGGTCACTTGGAAGAGAAGGCCAAATTGGCCTCTAAAAAGCTTAGCGTGCTCAGCAGAGCGGGACAGTATTTCATGCCATATCAACGCCTGCAAATTTACAAGGCACAGGTTCGGCCTCACATGGAATACTGTTCCCATCTCTGGGCTGGGGCTCCCCAGTGCCAGCTCCTTCCACTTGACCGCATCCAGCGCAGAGCGGCTCGAATCGTCGACGACTGAGTCCTTTCCGATCGGCTCGACTCATTGGCACTGCGAAGAGATGTTGCATCTCTTTGCATTTTCTTTCGCATTTACCACGGGGAGTGCTCTGAGGAATTGTTCGGATTAATCCCAGCTAAATTTCACGAACGCACATCGCGGCAGAACTCCCGATACCATTCACACCATCTGGATGATTGGCGGTCCACCACTGTGCGATTTAGAAGATGTTTTCTTCCTCGCACAACTTCCTTGTGGAATAGTTTACCACCAGAGATTTTTCCGGACCGATACGAGCCTTCTCCCTTTTAAAAGGCCGGCAACGCTTCTGCAATTCCCCTGGTGTTGCGGTTGTTCATGGGCGGCGGTAGTCACTTACCATCAGGTGAGCCGCATGCTCGTTTGCCCCCTCTCCTATAAAAAAAAATAAGATTACCCTGAGTTGTTACTTCATCCTCTGATAGATACAATGGTACGACGTCTCTGTCCACTTTGATGCCTGGTATTATATTTCTTTTCTTTAACAACTCCATAAACGGCGTTCCGTCATCAGCTTTCTGGTACACTGTCTCGTCGAACAAAATTACTGCTGATATGTTCTCCGATAGTACCTAAAAAAGTACGAACAGTTTAGTGGTGGCGACAAAAATCTTTCATATATCTTAAAAAAAAATTACTAATGACGAAAACGACAAAAATGACAGGATAGCTATCTAATTAATGCCTTGAGTTAAATATCCTGACCGAGAACATATGGTACTGTGCATTAGCCTATTCCGGCAGTGGACTATTGCGGAATGGTAAAGAACAAAAGACAAATAGACTTCTATGTACACAACGGCTAGTCCATTAACCCTCACTTTTGCATCAGGCGACGAATCAGAATTTGTTTTTAAGTCCTAAAATACCGTAACCATTACCGTAACATATCATCAGAAGTCCACTGCCGAACATAAACCTTCCCAATGAATTGCCTCATATGGGGAACATTTAACATAGCAGCCACACGTGGCAGACCAGTTGGTAACCGCAAGTTTTATTTTCTAGTTGTTATTAGGAAGACACTGCTGCCCATCTTCTGGTTCGTTTAACTCTGCCGTCTTTTACTACACACTCGGGACGATATTGATATGTGATGATGTATATTCTTACACCGCCTCTACATTGTCTTAAATATAGCAAATTATGTAAAAAAATCATCAAATTAGTTATGGTAATTATCACAAGATATCGTTATTTCTATAGTCTGTATTATTTATTAATGTAGTCTAAATTCGTATGCTTAATAAAGTCCAATAAAGTGTTAGTTTTAATTCACGAGGTAAAATTTCTATGATTGCCTCTTTGGTGAACGATATTCATTCAGTCATTAATTACAGCCTAACAAAATCCATAGCTGAATATAGGTCTCCAAAAAAGATTTACTCATAGGGAATTTGGCCATCGTTGCCGACGCATAGACAATCGTAGCTTTTTAATATTTTCAATTCTTATCATGAAGATATTGTTGTCCTGTTTCAGTTTTCTCCTGTCTGGATGATGATATGTGATAGTGGATATTCTTAAATCGTCACTATACAGTATTATTACTTACGTTGCTACTCTCGAAATAATTGAGGCTTACTTTGGCAATAAGACATAAAAAAGCTATTAGAAAAATTTACTTCGCAAATATCCGCGTTATAAAATAAAACGATGTGTCTTACCTAGTATGAAGAGCACCTCCCGCCCTCCCTCAATTACGTGCACTATCCCCGTCACCACTAATCCCAGCATCGCTACTCCCAACACCACTACACTAGGCAAGACACACCACTGACGATAATACGACACGTGTTTCGCCTCTACACGAGGCATCCTCATGTGATATAGACTCTACGGTGGCTAACCGCTAAGTGACTAAGTGACTCGTCAGTGGTGTGTCTTGCCTAGTGTAGTGGTGTTGGGAGTAGCGGTGCTGGGATTAGTGGTGACGGGGATAGTGCACGCAATTGAGGGAGGGCGGGAGGTGCTCTTCATACTAGGTAAGACACATCATTTTATTTTATAACGCGGATATTTGCGAAGTAAATTTTTCTAAAAGCTTTTATGTAATGGATTTCCGCAAAGTAACGCCTGATTCTGTTAATTATAATAAGACATAATATATTTCTAGGATAAAATTTACCTAAATTAAAGTAAAGCTTCAACATGGATGCTATAAGTATAACAAATATAATTTATTGTCTTAGAAATCACATCATTCTATTTCATTGGACGTCTTTAAATGCAACTGTGGGATTGGTCAGAACCATCTAATGGCTTCCGATCGATGACGGTAAGACCATCTTACTTACGCCAATATAAAAGGCAGTCGAAGTTGAGCAGCGTCAAATATGCAATACATCTGGTATACTCCGATCGCCAAACACTGCTATTTTAACCAATGGAGCCGATTTAGGTAAGTTTCTTTCAGGAAACATGTATTTTCCACAGGCTTTACACGTGTACACGCCTGGTAGGAAGGTTTCTTGTCAGAGTGTAAGGTATTTTTACTTATATCAATACCCACAGAACAAACAAATAAATAAATAAAAAGCGTGGTGATAAAGAAATCAGTCAAGCCGATTTTAAGACAAAGACTTTTTCTTCTAACTTATCATAAATAAAAATATGCGTAATGACACGAACGGAAACGTTTTCTATAACACGTGTTTCCCACATTAATATCATATATCATTCGCCGAGACGTTGCCTGTAATATGAAGGAAATTTGTCCCTTATTTTCTGGCATAAATATATTGCGTAGTAGGTTTTCCTTTAAGCTAACGAAACTTCAAATTAATTCCTAGCGGAAAGATAAACAAACCAGGCCTAACAAAGAGCCAAGCCTTTAGTACAACTTAATTAAATAGTTTCAAGAAGTGTCTGTATATAATATGGAAATAATTGGTTTCTATTAAGCTCAGGGTGTTATTTGCTTGCTAATAAGACATCACTATTCATCATCATCATTACAGTCCTTCCCAAGTCCACTGCTGAACATAGGACTCGTCCAAGGAATGCCACAAAGCATGGTCCTAAGCCACGTGCATCCATCGACTTCCTTAATGTCTTACCAGGTTGTCACTCCAAGTAGTGGGGGATTGCCCTACACTTCGCCTACCGATACGAAGGTGCCACTTGAGAACCTTTTTTCCCATCGGTTGTCAGTTATTCGAGCTATATGGCCAGCCCAAAGCCACTTCAGCTTACGAATCCATTAAGTCATGTCGATTACTCTAGTTCTACTGCGGATATCCTTATTTCTAAGTATATCACGCAGAGAAACCCCGAGTCGTCTTCATAGCTCAATGGGCGACCTTGAGCTTGGTCATACGGCCAACAGTGAAGCACCACATCTCAGATCCATAAGCTCTGGCAACACGCACTAGTTGTACAATCTTGTTTTCAGGTTTTGAGGTATACCTGACGAGAAGATGTGTCGTACTCTACCGAACGCTGCCAAGCCGAGTTAAATCCGTCGATAGACCTCTCGGTTGATGTTGGACTTACCCAGTCAGACTATTTGTCCTAGTCCTCCCAACAACTACCAGCATAGGTGTGACATAGACGTTATACATGACCTTTGTTTAGTTCATGTTCATCTTAAGACCTTTCCGTTGGGAGGCACTATTGAGGTCATTGAGCATAGTGCTTTAGTCCTCTAGCGATTCTGCCACAAGGTCTATATCATCAGCAAGTCGAAGGTGAGTGATATATTCGCCATTGATGTTAATATCGTATCTTTGGCAGTCCAGTAGCTTGAAAACTGCTTTCAATGCAGCGGTGAAGAGTTTCGGGGATATAACGTCACTCTGTCTTACACCTCTCTGCAGTTGGATGGATTTTGTACTCTGATTCTGTACTCGGATAGTTATCGTAGCCTTACTGCACAAACACTTCAGCACATCTATATATCGACAGTCAACTTCGCACCGCTGAAGGGACTGTTGTAGTACCGCCCAAATTTCGCCGGAATTAAAAGCTTTCTCATAGTCCACATACGCGAGGTAAAGTGGTAGATTGTACTCTTCGGTCTTCTGTACAACTTGCCGAAGGGTATGTATGTGGTCTATGGTGCTAAAGCCTATTCGTAAACCGGCTTGTCCGGGAAGTTGGAAGATGTGGAGTGGCAGCTATGGCAAACATCCCCCATGTTGCTCATAGGGGTATGTGTGCCATAGTTGCCACACTTGTCGAGCGGATTGGCAACTGCAGTTTTTATTGTACAATTGTTGTTATCAGAAATTCAAATTCCCTTTGTCGCCTGTTAAGATATGGGGTAGTGGATATTTACCCGCCACTACACGGCACTAGACTAAACAAACATTTTTTTTAATCGGTCTGTAAAGACGTCTTAAAGAAAGAGAAGTGTTGATTTGTCTATGTCATGTCTTTAATAATACCATTGTACTAGTCGTATAATATTATGCCGTGTGAATTGCTCTACATCACAGGTCTGTCTGTCTGTTCGGAACAGCTGAACCGATTGTGATGAAACTTTACGAACAGACAGTGTTACGGCCTACGGCTGCTCCCACAAAGAGTCAAATCCTTTGGGGCCCATTCAGCAGAGTTTCAACGAACAGACGTAGGTCGGGCCTCCTAAGGCCAAAGTGGAAAATCTCTAATTACACTAAACAATAAGGGGGAGCGTTCTATACTACTGCCATTCAACAGGGAGAATATTAAACGGAGCTTACTTACCTATATCCCCTTGGATAATGGCCCTCAGGATTCGGTCAGGTCGCATGTGGTTGTGTGGTGCAAGGAAAATAAGGTGCTGTGATGTGTATCTGGGTGTGACTGGTGGTGATTGACCTTATTAGACCTTTGCCGTCGGCACCAGCCCGGACGTCAGCACCGCTCCAAATTGAGGTAATCTTCCGCGGCGCCGTCCACAGTCACTTTCTTCGTTCGTCACGATGACAGTCCATTAACTCTATCGTACGATTAACTAACTTACAGAAGCCACTACCTCTCGTTTATTATAAGCTTAACGCACAAAACAAACACGGAGTGTCCGGATCAAAGGTCACTACCGTTTCGCGTAGCAACAGTTATTTCTAGAATATCAAAGGCCGCACTAGCTAATATTGTCGAATGCACTTATACAGATTCTGAGTCGGACCCAATAAGTCCCGGGAAAGGCTATCCAACAAGGAATGCGCGTTACAAATCCTAGACAGGATATTTACTAGACGCCTAAACTATTCCGAGATTCCCGCACAAAAATTGACAGCGTGCTGACATTAGCACAGCTGGCAGACGACTCGGCCTTTTCGCTCGCGACCCGCGCGCCCTTGCCACGCTCGGCCGAACTTCAACCGGTATCACGCCGACCCGAGTGCCATCTGGCGTCTATTTTTGACATTAGCGCTTGGCGCGAACAAATGTCCCTCCTGGACATCGCAGCACCTCAACAAGTCCTATACTGGACAGAAGTCCGACGATCTCTCTCAAACACCTATCTATGCTCCTATGATTAGTTCCGCAATCCGACCGGATCAGGTCTGCAAACAGCGACGCGACACGAAGCGGCCCAGAGTGACCTCCTAAGCTTCAGTACAGAGCGCACCCCCAAATTCCCCATGAACGTCGTCTGTGGAGAGCCGAACGAAACGCACAGATAGTCCCGAGTATGAATTTTCAACAAGTAAGCATAACCAAGCCATTCACCATATAATCATTTACCAAATGGTGCGACAGCTGATTTTCATCTGATAATCTACAAACTGGCCAGCCTGTTAGACAAGTAGTCCTATGCTCATATTTCAACTAATTTTTCAACTACAGAATCAATTCAACCCAATTAATCACCGATGCACATAGGTCAACTTGACAAATTAAACAAAACAATAAACGCAAGAGACAGCCCTATTTCTCATTTAAATAACTTAGACAGTGCCAACAAAATGTAAACCAAAAGAGAATCGACTCCCACTCCCTTCGGCACAAATAGGGTTATCTAATTTCAGCCTTCCTTTTCACAAAGAAAATGATTAAACACTATCACAAAACATATACACAATTTTCCAAATAGCGCGACATTCAATTTCAAATGAATTCAAACTTTCTTCTCAGCAAACAGACGCAACAATCAAATACAATTACAAAGCATACGCACAAGCATTCAAAAGGGCACATAATTCAATTTCAAATTTCCGTGCAACAACAAACACAGTGATTAAATATATTTACAAAACATATGCAGCAGCATTTAAAGGAGTAGATTAAATTCAATTCTCTTAATCACAAACGCTACAAATATGAAAATTTCGCGGAAAACCCAAAAGCATTTTATAATTTTAATTTAAAGAATTTTTAACTAAGTGCTCGACTAAACCAAATCTAATACCCCTTGACAGCGTGATTCAACGCTCCCGGGGGATCCTAATCTTCCCACCACCAAGTGGAAGCCACACGGCGTGAACCCGAGACCAATAGAGCGCAAACCGCTAACAGTCGCCACTCGGGTTGTACGCCTTCACTGAGGCCGTTGGCAACAGAACATTTTGACAAGTGAACTGTTGATGTTTTAATGCTCAGTGGAGGCGGCCGTGGTGGGAGCTAAGGCGGCAGCTAGCCAGGGCCGCCTCCATCAAAATGGGGAACAGTGGTACACCAGTCGCGACCACTCAGCTAACGGGAGTGAGAAGGGTCTAGCGAACTGATGATTGGCCGTGAAGTTCCTCTCCACACGCTGAGGGGGGGTGATGACAACCCCGCCCCTGGGGGAATTACCCCCCGACTGGTCGGGGGAGGGACCCCTTTCAAACCTAGGAGCCTGGTGGCTGGCCAGCGGACGCCGAGAGTCGCCCGTCAGAGGGCGTGGCTGAGCGCCCCCTGAGCGTGCCCTTCCAAACATGAACAGCACCAGCCGCGCTCCTTGGCGATAGTTCGCCTCGCCGGAACCGGCTTACCTAATAATTTCGGGCACAACGTTACCCGGTGATCAGATGCTCGACAATAGGAGCAGGGGGGGGGGGGTGTTGACGACGACTTGCCTGGCGCATTCAGCCTCTCACTGGGCACGGCTCGTAAGTCGTCAACGGTGCCCGCCGCGTTCTCGATCTGCCGGCACTGCTCCTGTCAATTCTTGAAATTAGCGCTTGGCGCGAACAGACAGAGACCAATGTCAGGAGGAATCTAGGCTACATATTGTGCGATTTGCGATTATGCGAAGTTTAAAATTAATGGTGTTTTATTAGCTTAAGTTTTTTTTTACAGAATAGGGTGACAAACGAGTACACAGTCCACCGGATGGTAAGTGGTTGCTGTGGCCCATAGACATCTACATCTATCCTCGTTTACGAATCAAAATGCAGATGCGTTGTCACCCGTGATGACTAAGCTGGAATGCCTCATTTCCAGTAAAAAGGGTCTCCGGTTCTCTACACTCACCATACGAAACACAGCAGCATTAAGCTACTATTTTACGCTTGTATTCTGTGAGAGCGTAGTCCTTACCCGGTCGAGCCGACCCATTCGTGCTACAACTATACTACTAGTATAGCTGCATCATGGCTCTACCACGTACAAAAGTCTTAATAACGCCACATTAATAGATCCTATTCAGACGAAGCCGGCACGGGTTTCTAGTTACAAAATAAATTAAAAAAAGGTCGTACCTAATATGGCCATAAATTCTGACATAATATATTAAAAAGCATATCTTTTTAACACGTTTTATTAGCTTGGTATCATCATGTCACATACGATGAAAGTCTGGGAAAGAATAATAGAGAGAAGAATGAGAGAAGAGTGTGAGATAACACAAAACCAGTTCGGATTCATGCCCGGTCGAGGTACGACAGATGCCATTTTCGCATTACGCCAATTGTGCGAAAAGTACAAGCGCGTGCATAAAGATCTGCACATGGTTTTTGTCGACCTTGAAAAGGCGTACGATCGGGTTCCCCGTGAGGTCTTGTGGTGGGCGTTAAAGATGAAAGGTATGCCTGGGAAGTATGTGAGGTTGGTCCGTGCTATGTACAGAGCATCCCGTACATGTGTACGATCTGCCGCGGGAACTACGGGCAGTATCGATGTGGCGGTAGGGCTGCACCAAGGGTCGGCACTGAGCCCTTACCTCTTCCTACTGATTATGGACGCTTTGACGTCGGACCTGCAGGATGAGGCACCCTGGTGCATGCTCTTTGCCGATGACATCGTGCTTGTCGGGGAAGAAGGCATCGAGGTACAGAGCAGACTGACGGGGTGGCAACGGAGGCTGGAAAGTGTTGGCCTGAAGATCAGCAGATCCAAAACCGAATATCTGTGCTGTGATTTCGGCGGTCTTTCCAGTCCTGTACCCATGTCGTTGGATGGCGCTATACTGCCTATCTGCTCAGATGTCAAGTACCTCGGTTCCCTCATTCAAGGCGACGGCGGAATAGATAGAGCTGTGCAGCATAGGATTAACGCAGGGTGGATGAAATGGCGACAGGTCACAGCCACAACGTGCGATCCCCGAATGCCAATAAGGCTGAAGGGGAAAATTTACAAATCGATCATCCGACCTGTCGTCATGTATGGAAGTGAATGCTGGGCCGTCAAGAAGAAGGATGAAAATAGACTGCATGCGAATGAAATGAGAATGTTACGATGGATGTGTGGTGTGACAAGGATGGATAAGATAAGGAATGAGTATATAAGAGGAAGCCTGAAAGTAGCGCCAGTGGTAGAAAAGGTGAGAGGAAGCAGATTGGCATGGTTTGGGCATGTGATGCGGAGGAATGAAAGTCATGTCACAAAACGAGTGTTGAATATGAATGTGGAGGGACACACGGGCAGAGGAAGGCCGAATAAAAGATGGATCGATTGTGTGAAGAGTGATATGAGAATGAAAGGAGTAAGTATGGAAATGACGGCTGATAGAGAGGAATGGAACAAAAAGATTTACTGCGCCGACCCCAGATAATGGGAAATGGTTTAGAGAATGATGATGTATCTACTTAACGGAATTTCGGATTGTGATTTTCATCCCCTACAAAACGATGGATAGATTTGAAACTTCGCACACTTATCTAGGACAGACGACAATGCAATAATTTAAATAGTTTATCGCATTATCCTTGGATCCTCCAGGATGCTCAGAATTTGCGAATAATTCCGTTGTCTCCGTAGTAAATTTATACGCTGCTAGCCCCAAGGTTTTTTTGAAAGACTCAATGTCGAGAAAACTTTTTGAACAGGCCATGTCCTATAGTACTGACGAAAATTCGTAGTCCAACGGGTTCAAATCTGAACGTCTTCAGCTCTTATGAAGTCCGGAGCATTGCTCTCGAGCCAGGTTTGTGTTGTTCAAGCGTTGTGATCAGGCTGAAAAATCGACGGTGGATTTTTGATATGCCTTTACAACAAATTTCAAGACAGTCTCATTTCTCCTTTTGAAGTCTTTACAAATTTTTACGAAAATTAAGATTTTTGATTCCCTAGTAAACACACCTTAATTAATCCTTGGTTGATGAAGGTTGAAGATCACGTTGAATTTTTCTAACAAGTTGCGAAGTTTCTTTAGAGCTATGAGCTTACACTTTAACATTTTATTTGTGTTAGTGCTCTTTAATCGTATTTTTCTTTTCATCTAAAGCACATTACTGTGTAGTTCCCTAGCGAATTGGGGCAGCAAGCGTTTTGATCGATCCACTCTCTTAACTCTTAAGCCGCGGGGACTGATTAAGGGCGTGTTCTATGTATCGACGGTACGTCTACCTACAGTTCTAGTATAACAATTCCCGATAGGCTCCCAGCTTGAATCTTCATTGCGCGTGATGGTATTTGTTGTTTTCTATATGGTTTCATCAATTCATCAAAAGCCAGACGGCTTTGACAGCGTAAACAGTCCGTTCAGTCCTAACAGACGGATGAAAAACTAGCTTACCAGGCTGTCAATAGTGCGATGAACAAACATACGGCTGATGCTTACTATTTGAAGCATCTTAAATGTGCTAATGGCTCCATAACTACTTTATGTAAAGCAATCACTTCAATTCTAGCACACCGCCATAGAGTAATTTAAAAATCACGATGAAAAATAAAATGTAACATAGCAGTCAACCGATTGGAGTTTCTAACATAATAAACGTGTTCCAAGTTTGAATTCAAGAAACAAGAAAAGAAAAGAACTTTTTAAAATTGTAACATTATTTATGGCCAGACTTGTTATATGTTTGGTCTGCACTTAAAATTCTTTGCAAGTGTTTTAGATATAAAAAGGTCTCCACATACTAGGAATTACCTACGATGCAGAAGGCGGCGCAATTTGAGGGCGGCTGGATTTAGAAAATTAATTTATATTCTTAAATTTATTTCAGTTTTTTTTTTTTATATATATTAAGATAAATTATTGTTATAAAGATATTTTACGAGTCGGTACAATACCTTTAAAAACTAGCTGCAAGTAATTGCAAGTCTGAAATGTAGTCAGACGAATAAAATAACAATACAAAAGAAACGTTCTTGTAGTGCTTAAAACATTAATTTAAAAAAATACATTTAACTTGTTACTTACATCGTCAGCAGTAAATAAAAGTTGCCGATACTTTCTTCTATTATTCTCTGTATTTTCTAAGCCCACTGTTGCTAGCAGTTTACCAATTCCCTCTGAAAAAACGCAATATAGTGGCTTCATTAAAATATATTAATGAAAATAAATCAGAAATTTACATTCCTAACTTTATTAATAATTCTTACAATTTTTTTTTTATAGGAGATGGGTAAACGAGCATGCGGCTCCCCTAAGCGGTAAGTGACTACCGCCGCCCATGAACAACTGCAACACCAGGGGAATCGCAGATGCGTTGCCGGCCTTTTAAAAAGGAGTAGGCTCTTTTCTTGAAGGTCCCTAAGTCGTATCGGTCCAGAAAAATCGCTGGTGGTAAACTATTCCACAAGGAAGTTGTGCGAGGAAGAAAACATCTTCTAAATCGCACAGTGGTGGACCGCCAATCATCCAGATGGTGTGGATGGTATCGGGAGTTCTGCCGCGATGTGCGATGGTGAAATTGGGCGGCTGGAATTAGTTCGAACAATTCCTCAGAGCTCTCCCCGTGATAGAAGCGATAAAATACGCAAAGAGATGCAACATCTCTACGCAGTGCCAATGAGTCAAGCCGATGGGAAAGAACTCGGTCGTCGACGATTCGAACCGCTCTGCGCTGGATGCGGTCAAGTGGAAGGAGCTGGCACTGGGGAGCCCCTGCCCAGAGATGAGAACAGTATTCCATGTGAGGCTGAACCTGCGCCTTGTAAAGTTGCAAGCGGTGTGCAGGCATGAAATACTGTCCCACTGTGCTGAGCAGGCCAATCTTTTTAGAGGCCCATTTTGGCCTTCTCTTCCAAGTGACCATGAAACTGCACGTCACTCGATATGTCGACACCAAGGATCCCTATACTGGCTGAGGCAACAAGGGGAGTACCTTGAAACTGAGGAGATACGACAAAGGGGTTCTTTTTAGCGGTAAACGCGCAAACTTGTGTCTTCTGGGGATTGAATTGGACTAGATTTAGTCGACCCCAGTCTGAGACTTTGTTCAACAAAGTCTCGACTTCAGACACAAGTTTGTTCCGGTACTCGGCGACGTTTTCCCGAGAAATATTGACACGGCCGGTGTATAAAGTATCACCAGTACTGTCGTCGGCATAGCAATGAATGTTACTGGTTTGTAACATATCATTGATATGCAGAAGAAACATCGTTGGTGATAGCACGCAGCCTTGTGGAACACCAGCGTTAATGGACTTGTAATCGGAGCATGCACCGTCTACTACGACCTTGATGCTCCGATCTGCAAGAAAACTAGTGATCCAATTGCACAATTTCTCGGGAAGCCCATAGGAAGGGAGCTTCGAAAGAAGCGTTTTATGCCAAACCCGATCGAAGGCCTTCGCTATGTCCAAACTAACGGCCAATGCCTCCCCCTTGGACTCCACTACCTCCGCCCATCTATGAGTTAGGTAACCTAAAAGATCACCAGCTGAACGACCTCGACGGAAACCGTACTGGCGGTCACTAATCAGCTGGTGATCCTCAAGGTACCGCATGAGCTGGCTGTTAATAATGGTTTCCATTACTTTGGAGAACAAGGAGGTAATAGCGATAGGCCTGTAGTTGGACGGATCTGAGCGGTTGCCTTTTTTAGGGATCGGGTGCACCAAAGCTGTCTTCCATGAGTTCGGGACTACGCCAATGGAGTAGGAGTACCGGAAAAGACGCGATAAAACCGGTGCCAACTCCTGAGCACACGTCTTCAGCACAATAAGTGGGACTCCATCAGGCCCACTCGACTTGTTGACGTCCAGGGAGAGGAGTGCTTTACGCACCGAGCGCTGTGTAAACAGCACTTCCTGCATGGAGCAATCACACCGCGGGATGGTCGGCGGTGTGTTCCCCTGTCATCTAGAGTCGAGTTGGAAGCAAAAAGAGAGCTTTCTCTTTTGCGTCATGGGCCAGTGAGTCGTTCGCCCTGTGTAGAGATGGCAGAGATGGCTGACAGAAGTTCCCTTGGACAGCCTTGGCGAGAGACCAGAATGCACGTGTTCCCGAAGGGAGGCGAACTAGTTTCTCGCCAATTCTGCCGATGTGCTCTGACTTTGCCTTGGCAATGACACTTTTTAAGGACCTGGAGGCGGAATTATACTTCTTTTTAAGAGCGCTGGTATTTACATCCCGGGACGTTGATGCGTCGGCCCAGGTTTGGTAGCACTCCTGCTTATAGCGTGATGCAATTTTGCAGGAATGAACAAACCATGGCTGATTTCTGCCTCCGATAGGCACCACAGATGATGGAATAAATAATTCCATTCCCTGAAGTAGCACATCAGCGACAGAATCAGCAACAACGTTCGGATCATCCGGCGCGAAGCAAACCCGCCCCGAAGGGTAGAATGCAAAAAAAACCGCATCCCGTTCCAATCGGCCGACCTATAGTACCAAACACGGCGACAAGCTGCAGATCGCAATTGAGATTGGAACGCGAGTGGCACCGTACTCCGGATCAGACAATGGTCCGAAGAGCTCAGAGGGGCATTGACGGAGACCTGATATCCGTCCGGATGAGAGGTCAGCAGAAGGTCCAACAGGGAAGGTACATGATCCTCCACATCTGGGATCCGCGTAGGCGAAGTAACCAATTGTGTCAGACCATATGCCAAGGCAAAGTTATAAACAGATCTCCCCGCATGATCGGTAAAGCGTGAACCGAGCCATTAGGCGTGGTGGGCGTTAAAATCGCCAAGAATCACGATCTCTGCCGATGGGACCTGTTGTAGCACGGAGTCTGCAGCCATTTGGACGTGGTCGATGAGTCGGTCTGTGTTTGCATTACCGCTATGGGACCTATAGAGGCACCCGTAGATGCGGGGATGGTCGTCGCTGTCTACGCGTAGCCATAGGATGGACAGGTCCTTACCTTCAAGACTACCGAGGCGTCAAAAACAGATGTCCTCTCTGACGTACGCGCAAACTCCAGCCCGGGGCACAAACGAGTGTTCTAATTTGTACCCCGGGTAGGAGAGATACGAAGTATCAGCCGGAGAGGACACCTGTGTCTCGGTTAGAAAGAGCAAGGCCGGCCTAGCTATCTCCAGATGGTAGTGGACGGCGTTAAGGTTTGAATGAAGTCCCCTGATATTGCAGAAATCCACGGAAAGCGTGGCAGGAGTTGCCTTTGTCTTCTTGGTCGTGGATGCTCAGCGAGGGATTCTCCAGGGGTGCTGGTACCCTCCTGGGGTAGTCTTCTGTTCAATTCCGCTACCATGTTGATGGGGGGGGGTATGGCCTCCGGCCACCTGCACTCACCAAGCGGAACGCAGAGGTAAACCGCTACTTCACACTGGTATTCTGTGAGGTCGTGGTACCACCCCGGTTCGAGCCGGCCCATCCGTGCGACAGCAGAAGCTGCCGCGTGGCTCTACCACTGTTAGTTACAAATGTTTAAGATCAATCATACAGTTAACATGTTTAATATAATGGGATTTTGCAAAGTAACGCCTGATTCTATTAAATGTCTCATAAATGTGTTACATATATGTTGTATTACATCCGATTTCCAATCATAAGGTCCCGAGATAAATCCCGGATCAGCCCAAAAAATCTGTTATTGAGTTTTTTGTCAACAAATGTTCAGTCCTGCGACTGATCCCTCTCCGGTCGTGTCTAATTACCGTACCATCGGGCTGTGAGAGTGAGGGAATAGCGAGTGCACTTGTGCTTGCTCATACACTATAATCCTACCCTGTGCAGTTGGCTAGTCAAAAAAAGCTAGCAGTGAATTTAGTCTGTAGGACATTATTGAGCACTGTAAATTTCATAATAAGCAAGCAAAACTCGTTCTTTCCCCGTCAGCACCACTGACTTTATTAGTTGTACTTTAAAGCGCTGGTTTACCACGTACTTAGTAGTAATGGAAAATATAGTTGCATTTCTTGGAGGACATGTGAAGTCCGCCAACAACTGACCGTTTGATTCGTCCACAGCGAGAATACCCTTTCCTGGGGCGACAATTGCTTCAGCAGTTTTCTTGAGCTCCTCTTGCAACTTGGGATCCAGGTACGAGAAGTAAGTGGTCATTTTTCTGCGACAAATGGAAATTAAAATAAGCAAAATTGATTATTACAATTAAGTATAACTCTTCTCCTTCAAATTTACATTTATTTAAATTCTTGTGTGGCGGCGTTGACACCGCATCATAATACCCATACAGACCGAGAAACAAACGAAGTCTAAATTACATTATCATACTTTCCAAATGACCCCGCAACAAACTAAATAGAAACTTCAGATCTATTTTGGTGGCTCCCCAGACCGAACAACTTCCCCCGCGGTAGATCCTTGTTTCCGTCGATGGCCAAACTTTTAATATTGGAAGCATGTTTCGTTTTCTATTGCAAACATGTTTATTAAGTACGGAGTGCATGGACGAGGTATATAAAAACTTTAATAGACTTCAATTTAACAATTTACGAGGTTGCGTCGTGTTTTGTTATAACGTTATATTATTATATTATATATCGTATATTAACTTTTGTTATAACGTTAATTTCTGCATTGTATATTACGTAATTGTAACAAAAATATAAATATTTCTTAAGATTAAACCTTTAAGATGTTAACAATATAACAGTAGCATATACAATGTTTTGTAATTTTATATACATAGATTAAGAAGTTTTTTAGTCAAACGAAGAATTATTTATCAAGTGAGTAAAACAAGAGTGGTCATTTGTTATAATTTTTTTTATAACAAATGCCCTGAAGAAACTTTCACTTCAAAAACGTTTAATAAAAAGTAAAAGCCGACTTCAAGGATCTAAAAATAATAAAATAATTTTACATTCTGTTACGTGGTAGAGCCATGCTGCAGCTATATTACTGGTATAGTTGTAGCACGTATGGGTCGGCTCTATTGGAGAAGGACCACGCTCTCACAGAATACCAGCGTAACTGCTGTGTTACGTATGGTGAGTGTAGAGAACTGGAGACCCCTTTTTGAAACGAGGCATTCCATCTTAGTCCTCACGGGTGACAACGTATCTGCATTCTAATTCATAATCGAGTATAACTGTAGATGTCTAAGGGTCACAGCAACCACTTACTGGACTGTGTGCTCGTTTGTTACACTTAACCTATAAAAAAAATCTGAAGTTTGTGCTAAGGACATACTCACAAATTCACAGCAATCAATTTTAATGAACTAAGTATTTATTACAATATTGCACAACTACTTCAGTTTAAAGAGATCCGTGAATGTGGTTATAAAACATGTTCGCCGATAACAAATTATATATTCCATTATATATATTCTTCTAAGATATCTACAGGGTATTACATTTATAAATAAAATAAAATGGATGTGTGTGCGATACAATATGGACCGAACGAATATTCAACAACTTATTTCGTGATTGTTGTCGTGTTCGAGATGTTTTCGATATTTGCGACAAGAAAAATTTCACTACTATTTCATACAAGCGTACAAGCATGTGACATGCGAAAATGTACATGCAGGTGTACAAGCACGTATACACGTACACACACACACACACACACACTTTTTAAAAATATTATCAAGCTCAATAAATTAATGAAGCTAATTAGAGATGACATTTTTAGACATACAAAAAAGTTCAATCTCTGCTAGCTCTAATGAAACTGGTTACTTACATTTTAAAGTGCCGATTCTTTCTTTTTTTATTAGGGTGACAAACCAGCCATCATGGTGGTATACATGCAACCATTCCAGCCTATAAAAGTCCGAGCCCTATGACCAACTGTGAATTTTTATGGGCTGTGATGTGACCAGACGTGGCACGTACATATGCTGTTATTTGCTAATTTATTTTCACAGTCAGTTTGAATATTAAATAAAATTACTTTTACAGATTTTAAGGTGTTTAATTTATTGAATAAAATAAAAAATCTGAAGGTAGCCGAGCTAACTATGACGTCGGGACGTCAAAAATCTAAGTACCCCCGTGACCGGGTTTAAAATAAGTAAATGAAATGAAATAAAATCCGTAAATGTAGTTTTATTCAATGTGTAGTATTCGCGTAAATATAAGAAATAATTATGAAAATCATTATAAGAAATCATTGCTAGAGCAAAATGATCTTCTCAGTGATCGCCAGTACGGGTTTCACCGAAATTGATCAACTGGGGACCTACTAGCGTATGCCACTCACATATGGGGCGAAGCCCTCGAGAACAGTGGTGAAGCACTTGCTGTTTCCCTCGATGTTTCAAGGTCTTTGACAGGGTTTAGCACGCTAGTCTATTGGGCAAGCTTTCAGCGTACGGCTTATCACCTTGCCTGATTGCCTGGGTGAAGGACTTTTTGAGTGAACGGTTTCCCCGGGTCGTCGTCGATGGCTGCTCATCCGGTACTGTGGCGACTAACGCCGGTGTTCCTCAGGGGTCGGTTCTCTCCGAAACTCTCTTCCTGCTGCATATTAATGATCTGCTCATTCCCGGTATCTATGGGTATGCAGATGACAGCACAGTTGTGGAGAGATACCAACTAAGTGCCCGGTCCAGTCGGGTCAAATCCAGAAAGAGAGGCTATGGTTGAGCGTGTGAGTCTCACACTACAGGCAGTCTCCGAATGGGGCGATGTCAATCTCGTGAGATTTAACGCCTCCCAAACACAAGCGTGTCTTTTCATCGCCAAAAGGAGCCCGCTCACCTTGGCTCCTACTTTCCGGAATGTATCCTTGGAGTACATTGACCGCCTTCAGTTGTTAGGGGTTGAATTTTCTTCGAACCTAAACTATGGGCGGTTCATTGAGTCCAGAGCCAAAGCAGCCGCAAGGAAACTTGGTGTCCTTGCAAGGGTGCGGCGGTACTTCACGTCGGGGCAGCTTCTTACCTTATATAAAGCGCAAGTCCGGTCGTTCATGGAGTATAGCTGTCACGTATGGGCTGGTGCTGCAAAATGCCACCTGGCAGCGTTGGACTCAGTGGAGAGACGTGCTAAGAGGCTCATTGTTGACCTTGATTTGGTTGAAACCAATCTTGTCGGCCTCGAGCACAGGCGCAGAGTAGCCAGTCTCTCGGTATTCTATAGGATGTATTTAGGTGAGTGTGCGGAGGAATTACACGCTTTAATTCCTCCGTCTACTTTCCACCATCGGACAACCAGGCGGTCGGCGGCTCTTCATCCCTTTGTTTTCGATATTCCACACATTATAATCAAACGGTTTGCTTCGTCTTTTGTAATACGTACAGCAAAGGAGTGGAATAATTTGCCGGCGTGTATCTTTCCGTCCGAATACAATCTGGGCGTCTTCAAGGCAAGAGTGAATAGGTTTTTTTTTTTACGCTTAGACGGTTCGATTTACCTTCTAGGGCTGTATCACCACTTACCACCAGGTGGGATTGTAGTCAAGCACTGGCTTATAATAAGTATTAAAAAAATAGTTAGCCCGACTACCTTCAGGTTTTGAGTATTAATTTTTCATCCGATCTACGTAGACGAGCTTACAGTATAGAAGTCTTGCAGTGGTATTCTTGGATTTGGATTTAATTTTGTTAATTATACGATCGCAAGCAGATATCAGCACCTATCCATCTTCTCTATTGAAATTAGGTAGGAATCAGTGTTCTTTTGAACGGCGGAGGATTTATGGTCTATCACTTCTGATGTAATTGCGGAGACGCTTTTGAACTTCTTTACAGACTGTAGACTTCACGGAACGTAGGTGCTTCACGTCACCTATATGTTCGTTCACGCGGGTTTTAAAGGATCTTTTTGTTGGTCCTATTTAAGCGACACCACGTTCGCAATCGGCGGGTGAATTTCTGGGTGCTGTAAAGCACCCGAAACGTCGGGAATTAAAAATAAGCAAATTAAACGCAATAAAATCCTTAGAAATAGCGTAGTGTAGTACTCGCGTAAATATAAGAAATTGTCATTTAGGATAGTATTACCATTTTAGATATGGTGGTACTATACAGACGAATTCCTGGGTAGAAAAGCAGAGTGGACACATATAATGAAAATAAAATGTTAATTCGTTTTTATTTCTACAATGACTAACCACGTGTTAAGTAATAGACAGTAATATACACAATCACGAGACAAATTTACATAAAATTTAAATCATTTCAAATTGATATGAATACTTACACGACCAGCCGCCCGCGTATACGAAGGCCAAATGAATAAAGACATCAATTATTGTAATCATTACTTGCTCAGCACCAATATAATTATGACAATATGTTATCTATCTAAGTATATTGAATTAGTAAAGAAACAGTAGTGGAAATTACTTGGAAACTTGACATATAATATTAAATTCAAATGGACAATTAAAAAACTGATATGAGGAAATTTGTCTTAAATAAAAATAAAAAGTAAAAGAATTAAAAATAATACAATAATTTCCACATAACCTGTCACCTTCTGAAGTCGGTACGAAAATATCTTTGTGGAAATTACATAATTCTTCTTTTTTTATTACAACTAAATTTTTGAGTTACTAATAATGTATATAATGTTTTAATTCCTCACAAAACTTTGACATTATGAAATTTAAGATATCGTTGGGTAGGGTTCTAACTTGAAAGAAACCAATAGACTCCTTTAAGAGGACTAACGAATATCACAAGCTGGAAAGTTCACCTCTATTTACCACCGTTAGATGTGGAATTTCTTCTTCAATTTTATATGGAACAAACCCTGAAATACAACCTATTGATTAAAAAAATCATTAAAATCAGTTCAGAATTGATGAATATATCACATAAAATATACAAAAAAGGACAAAAATTCGGCTAATAAGAAATGGATTCAAAGGTGTTGTGAGCATTAACGATTAACTACACTAATATCGAAAGTTCTAGATGCCGGAATATCCACTAGAAACATAATAAACAGGGGGAGGAGTCTTCTCTCCCGAGAAGATTCCTGAGAAGAAGCCGCCATGAAGGGGCCGGCGCTGGTGGGGCCGTGGATTTGTGAGGAAGCGTTCCCGAAACCCTATCAATATGCGGCGAAGTTGCAACACCGTGAGGTTTTAGTCGGTGCGAGTCCGACATCACCCGTCCTTGTCCGCGCGAGGCGGGTGAGCGTAGGCATTTTCCCGTGTAAAAAAAAAGGAACATACTCGTAGGTGGTAGGAGCTGATAAGGAGATTTTAAACAAAAAGGCTTTTTTGAGTCGATTTGTAGCCACTGTTTACAAATCAAACCAGCCTCGGGTCATCGCACTTCTTTGGTATGCTATCTGACAGCATAGAACTCATAGGTTGTCAGCATCTTAAACTGTTGACGCTAAAACAGACAGGCACCTGCACAGTTTTATTTCAGTTAGCACCGAAGGTATTTTTGCCCCGTTCGCGCTAAATAACGTTCGTCACGATTCTAGAAGAAACTCACCATAGAGCCATTATGCTGTTATTTTACTCTGATATTATGTTAGAGTGTTGTTCCTCCCCATTCGAGCTTATCCTATCAGCTACAGCGTGGCTCTACCACGTAAAGTTCACGTAGATTTACATACTTAAAAAAAAACACCCTGTACATATCTGAGTGAACCTTTTCGCAAAGGTTATCATTCGTATGTCGCAGCAGTCAGTTTTTAGTAAGACTGCATGCAAGGTACCTAAATTATTTCTATACTGTTTTTGTCGTAGTCAGCCAAATTGTATTTTTTTTTCAATTTGTGCTTCTGAACCATTGTTAATATCCAATACAATTCATGTTTCTATTGCGTCTACATAAATAACCTCAAAATCTAAGCTTAAAATGTTATAGAATATTTCACCCTACTTTCACACACTTATACAATTTCCTTCCATTCAAACCTACGATAATCACTGTGCATTAATAATTTTAGAATACTCTCGTTCATATTAGAGCATAACCAAGGCGCCGCCGACTGAATTTGTTCAAACCATTACTTGCAAAATGTTAAGTAAAATAGAAGAAAATTATGTAATCACCATATGCATTTTTATAAATTCTAAATAGAATTAGTAGTAATTGAGAGTGGAAGACAATTAAGTATCAAATAGCGTGAATTGTTTCTCCACTGTCAGTATGTAATTTTATAAATTATTATATTATAAAATGTTTGAGTTAAGTTTATAATATACTCTCCCGTTGGGAGCGACGGGGGGGGGGGGGGGGGGTGCCCTTCAGGGGAAACAAAAATCTATAGATATGAATTTATAGGAAAGGGTGTAACGTAATTATAGTTAACGTAGTTTTACTGCACACCGGTAAATTTGTGTGGCATCCATCTTG